GTTACGACACTGCCAGAAGACAAACCCTAAACCCTAAACCCTGAACCCTTAAACCCTAACCCCTAAACCCTTAAAACCTAAACCCTTAAAACCTAAACCCTAAACCCTAAACCCTTAAACCCAAACCCCTAAACCCCTAACCCCTAAACCCTAAACCCTAAACCCTAAACCCCAATCCCTAAACCCTCGTTACGCCAAGCACCTAAACCCTAAATCCTTCTACAGACTTTGGCCCCAAAAGGAACCCAAAACCCCTAAACCCCAAAACCCTAAGCTAAACTCCCAAATCCTAAACCCTAAACCCCTAAACCTTAAACCAACCCAAAGCCACTAAACCCCTAAACTCCTATCAACCCTAAACCCCTAAACCCTAAACCCCAAAACCCCAAAACCCCAAAAAGAGCCCTAAGCCTTAAAGAAGAAAGCCAAAACCCTGAACCCCAAAAACCCTAAAAGAGCCCTAAAAGAGCCCTAAGCCAGGCCTCATGGCCCAGGAGTTTCCGCAGCAGATCCGAGCAGAGGCCCAGCTTGCCTCCCTCGAGCTCCAAGCCGCCCTTGATGAGGCCTTAGGTTTAGGGCTTAGGGTTTAGGGTTTAGGGTTTAGGGTTTAGGTTGAGGGCTTCGGGTTTAGAATTTAGGTTTAGGGCATAGGGAGACGGAGTTTAGGGTTTAGGGTTTTACAGGGTTTAGAATTTAGGGTTTAGGGTTTAGGGTTTAGAATTTCGGTTTTAGGGATTTACAGGGTTTAGAATTTAGGGTTTAGAGTTTTACAGGGTTTAGAATTTTAGGGTTTAGGCGGTTTAGGGTTTAGCAGGGATTACAATTTAGGGTTTAGGGTTTAGACTTGAAGGTTTCGGGTTTAGTGTTTTTTTTTTGCGGGTTTCTTTATAAAAGGCTCCTTTAAGCGGTCGGTCAGGGTTCTATTCAGGTGTAGGGGTTTGTCCTCCCGGCCGCCCTTGGCTTCAAGGCTTTGCTTAAGAGGTCTAGGGTTTAGGGTTTAGGGTGAAGGGTTTAGGGCCTCCTTGCTGGATCTGTTGGGGCTCCTTGTGAGTGTTGGGGTTCAGGGTCTGCAAAGCCTCCCTGAAGGGATCTATTGGGGCTCCTGTTTTAAGGTTTTGCAGAAGGGATAATGTAGGAACCTGACCAAGAAACCCTGGCCCTATAACCGGTTCTAGAGGAGTTTGTCCTCCAAGCCACTCTTGATGAGCTTTAGGGGGTGGGGGTTTAGCGCTTGAAGAGATTTAGGCTTTCTTCTTTAAGGCTTTGAGCTTTGGGTTTAGGGTTTAGGGCTTTAGGGTTGAGGGTTTAGGGGAGAGGCTGAACCCAAAACCCAAAACCCGAAACTCTGAAGGTAAGGTCCCGGCTGACAGAGACACATGTGTCCTTGATCTTGCCCATGTTCTGAACAGTTCTGGCCTCAAATGTGCTTAGGAGAATTCCGGGAGGAAGAAGAGAGTCAGTTACTCATTACAGTATGCCGTTGTGAACCCTGAACCCTGATACCCCGTAAACCCCAAACCCGAAGCATAGGGTACCAAATTAGTTGCTCTACTTTCTAGATCCTGTTGGGGAAGGTGCTAAGCGCTTAACCTGAAATCGCTAAGCCCGGCACAACAAACTGATGCGGCAACACCCAAATCAGGACGTCGGCATACATCACTGCCTGAGCAGGTCGTGGGGGAGGCTGGATGGTGGGTAGAGGGGCCGAAATAATTACCAATACTATTTTGGGGGTTCAATATTATAGATATAGTATACAGTAATGGGCGCCAAAACTCTATTCTAATTATTGAGGCCCCTATGATAATGGGTGTAGGGTTTAGAACCAGTTTAAACCTTCAAAGAACACAGCAAACGCGCCCAGTGTCAGGCGTTTTTTCAACACATTATACTAACCCTTGTCCTGCCCCGTGTAAACCCCTAAAAATGCCCCTTGCTGTAAGATCCTGAGGGCTCAGGGTTTCGGGTTCAGGGTTAAGGATTAGAATGCCCCCTTGGAATAAGCCCTGAACCCTAAACCCTAAACCTTGATCACACCAGCTCCCGAACGAGCCTTCTTGAGGTCAGGCTCCGCCTTGACGTGCTCTGGCAGGGTGATGCCCGGAAGGTACTTCACATTCTCCTGGAGCGCTTGGTACCACCGGGCTTTAGGTTGAGGATGTAGTGTTTCGGGTTTAGGGTACACTCTCAGCCCTCAGAAAGCCCCACGCCGAACGTGATTCCGTATCGTTGACGTGCCTTTACAAATCATGCACAGTGCGAGGAATCTCAAAGGCCATGGCAATGATGATGCTAATGCCAAGCCTTGTTAGGGCCTCTGACAAGGCTGCTACCGTCTACCGCGTACGTGCGATTGTTGTGTTGGTCACCCTAAACCCTAAACCCTGAACCCTAAACCCTAAACCCTAAACATATCCTTCGTCTCGTTGAAGACCTCCGACAGCTTGCGCTTGACGCCCTTGTGCTGCACCTCCTCGTCGAACATCCAGACCTGCAGAAGCCAACACATGCAGCAGCTAATGTAGGGGCCTAATCAAACAATTACCAACACTGCTTCTGTGCTCCTTATTACAGTTAATCATAATATAAGGTCTCCCCAAGCCCTAACCCTACTGTAGTTGTTAAGGTCTCGATATTCAATGAAAGGCAGTCTGCAAGTGCCTGCAGAGTCTGATGGCATCCCCAAACTTATCCTAAACCCTAAACCCTAAACCCTAAACCCAAACCGCAAACCCTAAACCCTCAACCCTAAACCCTAAACCCTAAACCCTAAACCCTAAGCCCTAAACCCTAAACCCTAAACCCTAAACCCTAACCACAAGTGCATCTGGGGAACAGTCAAGTTGTCCTCGAACTCAGGATGCCTGGATGTGTTGCCTGGCAGAGGGGAACTGGGGTACTAAACTAGACAAAGCCCTTATAAACCCTAAACCCCAGAACCCTCAGGCCTAAACCCCGAAAGCCCTAAACCCAAAGCCCTAAACCCTAAACCCCTTAAGCCCTATCCCCTAAACCCCTAAACCCTAAACCCCTGAACCACCCTAAACCCAAAACCCCACACGCCTACTAAACTCCAGAACTGAATTCTCGAGTTTCCTGCCAATCAAACAACCAGCTGCTGAAGCTGATCAGGGGATTTAGGAGTTTAGGGTTTAGGGGTTAGGGGTTCAGGGGTTTAGGGTTTAAGCTTTAAGGTGTCGGGTTTAGGGTTTAGGGGTTTAGGTTTATAGGATGGTCTAGGGTATTTTAAGGAGAAACACAGCGGCTTGAGAACAAGAGACCTTGTTACAGTGCCGAATCTCACATGCGGCCTGCAATGATCGTCGCGATTGCCATGCCCCAGTTGCCGCTGCCAACAACCTGAATGATGCTCCGAAATCAGTGCGCGCGCCATTTGCGGGTTTAGGATCTAGTAGGGCTTTATTACTAGGGTTTACTAGGGTTTGACAGGATTTAGTCGGGTTTTGGTACGATTTAGGGTTTAGGCCTAAGCAGGCTTTAGTAGGCTCTATGGTGGGCTTTTAGCAGGGTGCAGGGCTCAGAGCAAAAGCCCCGTAATCCGAGCTCCCGGCGGTAACATTTAGCTTCGCCATGTCTCAAGAGGTGCGCTTTTGGGGGGGACAAAACTGATGAGCCAAGGTGTTCCAAGCTGCGGGACGAAGCGAGCTGCCAATCTCATTTCTCCTTAATGTCTTGAGTTTCTGAAAAGCTTGTTTTTTTCTGTAGAGAGCCCCTTTAAACTCCACTATGTTAATCAGGGTGTATAACGAAGTAATTACGTTATGATAGCGTAGTAAGGCAAACCCTAAAACCTAAAGCCCTAAACCCTAAACCCTCAAAAGTTGCAACGGAAGCCACCTGCCGCGTGCATGCACTGCTTAAAGGATCATCGGACTTAGAAACGAGGGCTATACATCGGGTAGCTCTACTTATGACTTATGACTTGAGATTGCTTGATGTTAGGGTTTAGGGTTTAGGGTTTAGGGTTTAGGGATTACACCACCGATGAAGGTACTTTATAACTTTACTTACTAAGTCCCCTGATCCTCCAAGTTGACTCGCTAGGCACGCAAGCCTCTTGCAGCTGAACCCGCAGGGCTGAAGGCCTTGGAGAAAATCCAGGAACGTCTAAGCGTGGAGGCTTCTCACATTTTGAGGGGAAACTGATGATGGCGGTTTGGCGATTTCTGCCGAAAAATCCTGCCACAAGCTCTGCGTCGCAGATTCATGTAGATCTGGGGCGCCGTTCCGCAGACGCCTGCCCGCCGGGCAGGATCGTCGACAGCAACACCTGCTGCACATGCGGCGCACGGCTCAACATCTTGCACATCAACCCAAACCCAACCCGAAACCCTAAACACCCTGGACCCATCAACCCCCCCCTAAACCCTAAACCCTAAACCCTAAACACCCTGAGCCCATCAACCCCCCCCCTGCAAACCTGAAGCCCCAAGCTTTCGCACTCTTTCTGAGGAACCAGCCTGGCCGCCACTGCGGCGGCGCTGGCGGTCACGGCCAAGGCAGCCCCTCAGCAAAAAAAACAAAGACTATACCTATAGTCTCCATTGTAGTTCCTTTTTGGGGATACCTTATAACGTCCTTAATATATATATATATATACATACATATATATATATATATAACTGGTTAAACCCAAAAAAGGAACTACAATGGAGACCATAGGTATGCTTTGGGGCTTAGGGCTTCTGGTGCGTATAGTCTAAACAGGGCCCGTTCCACTGTGGAACTGAGATCTGAGGTCGATGCCTCGATGCCCCTGCGACGATCTTGGAGGCTCCAAGAGAGTGCCGCTGTTCTGCACCTCGTCGGGTTTAGAGCTACCGTGCGGTTTATAAGGCTTACCGTAGTCTACCAAAACCTACTTTTTTGTAGGGTCCCTATGAATTCCATATTAGGGTTTACAAGGAGAACCGACAAAAAAAGTAGGTCTTGGTAGGTTAAAGTACAATGTTGTGATTTAGGGTTTAGGGTTCTAGGGCATCGAAAGGATCTTCCCCCTTGGTCCCCGGAATATACCCCCAAAGCCCGTATTCCAAAGCGTTGTAAACCCCTGTATATACAGCAACTCCAAATATGGTACTGTAGGCATTCTGTTGATGATAAGAATGATCATGTTAAATCCTTATAACAACAATGTAAAATTGTATCCAACAAGGACCCAGTATTATGGGTAATGCAGGATTTATACCATCAACCGTTGAGCTCTGCAGACGCCAGGATCCAATCCCAAAGCCCTGCGCTTCCGTGTCGCTCGCTGTAGGGTTTAGGGTTTCGGGTCTAGGGTTTAGGGTTTCGGTTTAGGGTTTAGGATTTAGGGGCTAGGGTTTCGGGTGTCGGGTTTAGGGTTTAGGGTTTACGGTTTACGGTTTAGGGGTTTAGGGGTTCGGGTTTAGGGTTGAGGGGTCTGGGGGGGGGGGCCCACCGTAACTACAGCCCTCTACCCAGGAGGCTTGGCAGAACCCTTATAGCCAGCACCCCGCCTAAAGCAGTAACCCGATAACCCTCATGGACACACAACTTAAACACAACCCTTGTAAACCCCCTAACCGATACCTATAGTCTCCATTGTAATTCCTTTTGGGGGATACCTTTCAAGTCCTTTATGTATAACTGGTTAAACCAAAAAAGGAACCACAATGGAGACTACAGGTACCCTAAACCCTAAAC